CCTCCGCTAGGAAAAAGAATAATATAGAAAAAAAGAAGGGGGAAAAGCATTGCCTCATCACTCGGCCATCAGCTGATTGTGTGTGAGTCCTGACGTGAACACTTGCAATCTGTATCGTTTCGACACTCGCCTGACGTGACATCGATCGGAAGCCAGGAACGGGTTCCACTATGCCCTAATAGTCGAGTTTTTGGGCGCTAGAGGGTCCTTCCCACCACCCTTGGGGGCCACTGTTTATTCCTAAGGGCAGAACTCAGTAACCGTTTTTATCGTGAACTGTGCCTTTAAGGGAGATTCAATGTGCCTTCGGCGAGATGAATATCACTTGCAAACTTAACAGTTAGAGCTAATTTTCCAAACGTTGGTCTAGATTCGACTTCACGCTGCCGTAGAGATGAGGGTAAGCTTTGTAGTGGTTTATGGAGCCTTCCAGCTCAGCCGTATTGAAAAAATAAATAGTCTTTCCTTATCAGAAATCAGGAGTAGTGTAGTAGATAAGAGAGGAGACTCATTGAACTTTTGAATGTGGCACTTGAGGCATTGTAATATATAACTATGTATAAACTTGCTAAAGGTGGAAGGAATGGCTCATGTAGAGGCGTACGGTATAAAATAGTCTTAAAGGCACAGCTCACGATAAAAATGGTTCCTGAGATTTCTTTATAGTATAAATTCGAGTCTCACCTTATGCCATACCTGTCGCTGTGAGGGTGGAAAACGTCCTGGATAGGGCAATAAGGAACCAGAAATTGAATCGTTCGAATGCCACACCCTAGCGGGAAGTTTTAACGACTTTATAGAGGTTGCACCATTATCAATGCATGAAGTTCAAACAACTAGTCATGACCCATTTCGACAGTGAAAGGGAATTCTGGACAGTCATGGTTTGAATTCGTCAGCTCTTTGTCCGATGAAAGCAAGTTTAATCTCGTCCGAAAGCCCCTTACATTCCGTTTCTATCGCGGTGATCTCGTACAACTTCCATTTGAACTACTTTCATAAAGCCTGAAAGAGGCGGATTTTCTCGCTTTCTTCGTCACCGGTGTGCTCCTCCACATCAGCACTTCCGCTTTTCAACCCGAGAAGGGTACCTCGAAATTGTCGTGAACTGTGCCTTCAAGCATATATAAATTTCCACTATTTGAATCGATAAGATGTGCACGCATAGATCACAAGCAGCTTGCGAAGCAACGGTCAGCAGGGCCTGTATTTTTCTTTGTGCCTCCATAACCTCGTACTATTTGTATTTTCCTCTGTCTTCCTCCGAAGGCTGACAATGGAGAACAGTTCGATTCTGCGATGACCGTGGATGGTCAGCTGCCTTTGCCTGCACTATCGACCCGCACCTTTACGACGTCAATACGAACCATGTATAAAGGTGGGTAATTGTTTTATTCAATTACTACGAGTGAATTCTGATCTCTAAAGATCCGATGTGTAACGGGCTCGCTCCAATTCACGGGGTTCGAGCCATATCAGACAAGGTAAGTCTATCGTTATTGGAATTCGGAGAACTCCATTTTTTGAGAAAGGGGTACAACAGAGTCAAGAGTCAAAAAGTACCGCCGGCTTAGAAAACTTTTGGACAAGCGTCGAATACACGAGAGTCGTCCCAGCCTTTAAAACAGTTGATTTTCAAACTAAATCCACCTTAAATATGCGACTTGGGAAAACGCCAAATAACTCAATTCCACTCAAAACCTCAGCCCAAAAACGCAGTCGCTGTCGCTTCCAAAGCGACCCTAAGCAGGAGAGGTTTTCTCGTTTTGTGTGGCTCTGAGGGTAAACAAGTAAAACGCAGCAATGAAAGTGCGGGACGTTACTGACAGGAACAACCATAATTCCGTAAACGGCACGTATTTCCGTCTCATAAGAACAAAGGCAATAAAAGCCAAGTCGAGGGCCACCAAACAAGCTGCAGAGATCAAGCGGAACAACGTGCAATGAGCATCAGGTGGAAAGAAGTGTCGTGATTGTATAAAGGCAGAACATTTTTGAAGAGACTACGAAAACAGGATGCAGTCAAAGGCTGACCGGTGTAATGAAGAACCGTTTGCGCCCGCAACGGTCGAAGAAGGTGCTACGACGTTGGTCGTGTAGCGCCACAGTGGCATCACCAGGAAAACGATTTTTAAGGCTAGATGACTGTTAAAAAACAACCTACGGAAGGCTGTTAAAGAAGACCCTAAGTGTTTTCTATAAACATTGAAGTAAAGGTGTTTCGGTGACGTAAGAAGTAGGGATAACGGTCCTCCCCATGAAGACTTCTAAAATTTGATCTAACAGATTTTGATCGAAATGTGTTTAATAGATGTATGTATTTGATCCCCTAGATCGATTCCTTACCAGAGGTCCAGAGTTTCTTCGTAGTGTCCGTACATTTTCTTCTGTTCTGTTTCTGTTTCGTTCTTTGCACTTTTTTCTTTGCAGATCTGCTGATTTGACCGTGAGGGCCGTTTGCGCACCTATCATTCGAATCTCACTTGAATTTTCACTCTCCTGTTCATTCGCTCCCATTTTCTCTGTTATGGTCTTCATTTTCCTTTCACTGCGCTTTGGAATGTAACATTCCCTACAACAGTTTTGTTTTTACCCTGGAGATTCCGAATTTTTCAGTGCACCTGAAACGATGCACACAGTTCAATAAAGTTGATGATGAGATGAGTATCCACTGATTACTTCAACTCAGCGAAGCTGTCTTGGAAAAAATTACTGTTTCTATGGTCATTGATGACATTTGATTTTTTTGATCGATTGCGAAAACCTTGGGCATTTCTACATGACAGGAATCATAATTTATTAGCCATTCCTTTCATTCCAACACCCGATGCGCGAAGACGGAAAGTTTCCATATACGGACATGTTGACAACAGCATCGTCAAGATCTACATGGAATTGATCGGAATATGATCCATCGATCGCGCACCAAATAGGGATGTAAAGGTTGGATGGAGAAGACATGGGCATGATACATTTTCTTTCAGTTTTGTTTGGTATTGCCGTTGCATCGTATTGCTGCTTATCTGGTATTGATCGGTCTATTGCTGTGGCTTACTGGAGTATCGATCCGATATCTATATCCTATATTCTACCACTGAACTACATTACATGTGATCTTGTTCCTTGCGTGGTGCTGACTGGAGTGGAGTGACTAGACGAGTTGCTCGACGTTGAGATTTGAACCTAGTCTGAGAGAAGAGCTTTTGAGGCGTAGTTGGGATGCCCTAGCTTTACAATAAAACATCAATTCAGAATTTATCATAACTGATCGGAGGCATTTCATATCCTGTCCTCAATGCTCTGCTAACATTGACAGTCAGGAGTGCGAATCAAGCACGCCTGTAAGCACCACAGATTCAGTGAATGAGTCATATCTGTTGGCCAATGGTCACAAGCCAAAATTGCGTTTTTTCACAGTTTACTCGAATCGGATCAGCAGTTCATAAATAGTTTATAAATATGGGACTGTTATATACTCTCCACACAAGATATCCTCAATCAAGGCTCTTGAAAAAGTACAAAATGTCGTAATCAGAAAGTTAATGGTTGGAGTCCATGGATATGACTATGCGAGGACACCTAACAGTGCGATTAGAAATAAGAATCTCGATCTCCAGACACTTGAGGAACGAAGGAAAAAACATGATCTGATCTTACTATACAAAATTATTATTGGCAAGGTTTCAGTAGATGATACGAACTTTTCTCCTCATGCGACTCTCATACTCGTGGCAGACGTATCAAGGTCTTTATTCCTCGAACAAAATCTAGGTATAGAAGCCATTTCATTTGTCATCGCGCTAGTATGGAGTTTGATAAAATTGTGAGGCAGCGTGGGGCACCTGAATCATACGCTCACTACAAAAGACTGGTGACCCAATACTTATCATAACTTTTGCTCATCTGTTGTACTGTGAGTTTTTTGCATTTTTNTTTTTCCATCATTTCCTGTACTTTTCTGTTTACTTTCTCTTTGCATTTGTATTTTTTGTTAACCTACACCTTACTCTTTTAGGTACAAAACCGTGTGCTTTGATGCCCTTTGCGTTTCAATTCTTCGGTGGTTAGTTTTTATTCTTGTTGATTTCACACGAGGTACCTTGTGTAATGAAATAAATCAAATCAAATTTTCCTCTGCGAACAAAGCCGAGAAGCTATCACGCTCGTCGCTGTTCTCGATAAATCCGGCAGTGACAAATGGCGCATTAACACACACACGTGGTGCTTGTATCAAATACTTTTTGCCAGATTTGTCTGGAAGGATGAGCGCACCGTACTGGATGGTCATTTCAAGTCATTGTGTAGGACACACACGCATTTTGAATGTCACTTCGTTCCTGAATCGAAGTCGAACACGGAGGCGCATTTCAAAAACGAGACCGATCAACTCCAAAAGCTTTTCCAACTGCCCTTTCCTGTAACCCAGCCGAGCAAGTATCGAAATGAAGAATCGAAGATTTGCCATTCAGGATTTAAGTGCTCATCAAACCTACGTTTCGACATTTAGGAGTTCATGTGATTTTTCCATTCAATACCGATCTCCTTCTTAACAACAGATTCCGCATCTCACGTGCACGGCTTCGTAAGTGTTCACTTAAAATGTGAAACAGTAAGATGGAATTGAACAAGAGACTCGTTGAACCACGCCACATATTGAACTTTAGTTTTTGGAAATGACGTTGATTCCGAAAACTCATTAACAGTTAGGGGTTCGGCGACGAGCTATGTAGCTGAGCAACACTTTACTTTCGTAATTGTGTGCTTTTACATTGACATTGCCAATTATTTGTCAGTAGGAGACATTGACAAAGCGATACTATGAAGTCAATAATTTTGGGGCCTGATATGATAAAAATTCCATCACTTCAATGCACAGACTTGACCGTAGTCACGGGTTGCGTTGTGACCAAGTGGAGTGGATGACTTTAAAAAAAAGAACAAAGCTTCTTGATTGTTATTACATATATTATCGAATAAGATTACACGTTGGTGGCGACGATCGCTATACGTGACGGCAAAAAGCCTTCTTTCCCATTTCGTAGACGTCGCACCCATAACCATCCATCGGGCTGAAAAAATAATCTGGTTCAAACCCACTGGCTAGAGGGAACCAGTCAAAATAATACAGCTACTTGCCAAAGTAACTTGTTACACATTGTGGCTCCTTCATTACCTCGGTACATATGCATACACAAAAACACAGCCATAGTCAAATTCGTGTACTGCTCCCTGCGCTTCCACGATATATTATGAAGCACGTGCATCGAAATGGCGAAGTGAGTAGTGAAGGAAGGAAGTTTAGTATCCTGTGGCATTCACAGGACCAAGATGGATTCATTACTATTCCATCCTCCTTCACTTCTCCCGAAATTTGGTTGAGGTTGGAGCCGACCGTTGGAGTAGGACAAATAGGCGGAACGGTAATACCGTTGCGATAAAAGGAAGGCAGTTATTGCCGCCATATTTGGCATGACAAGAGCAGGCGTAAGTCTCCCCGAAGACAGCCTGACCTGTCGCTGTATGAACTTTAGAATCATTCGCAGACATGACTTTAATGGATGGTTTACTTTACTTTTTCGTTTTTCTCGCCAACTGCGTAACGCTTAGTATCCCACCTCGGTTTCTGGCACATAGCCTACCATTCATATGGTGCCCAAAAATATTTGAGGGGTAGGCAACGAGCGGGACGGAAGCATGAACGAATGGCCGTCCAGAGTCCATCTGCGTTCTCGATGGAATAGTTTTGAAAGACGATTGAGAAATGATTGGAAGGCGTGGAAAGTGCTCGAGGGCCTGAGGCTTCTTACGAATAGAACAGAAGTGAGCAGCTTGGAGAGAGTTTCAAAAATGTGGTAATGATGCAAATACTGACATCTTTAGAAAGGACTCGAACCCATTCTCCTTGTTTTACTGAAATATCCATCACATGTTGACCATAAAAATCCTCTGTGACCAACAAGAGCTGTTCTTCTGGGTTCGTGCGTCTGGTTCTAGAGTTGACGCTGGAAATTCATAGATTAGGAATTTTCCATTGAGTTTATTCCATCGTACACAAACACAACCCCTGTAAACTATCAATCTTCCCATTTTTCCAAAGGGTTTTCAAGAGAACTAAATGTTGCAGTGCAGGTGGCAACGAGGTTGGCCGTTACATCTCTTAGAAGAATCCGCTTCCTTTTTTTTGGAGCTTGCCGACTATACGAGTCTATGCATGTGCCTTTGCAAAACGCGAAAAAGTAGGAATTTTTTTATGACTCGCTGAGAAAATCCTCAGTAAAGCCTGTTAGTTAGAAAATGGTTTTTGAAGGCGTACCTGTAGTAATCCAGATAATATGAAGGAACAAAACCTTCCCTTCCATGAGCAGTTCGTACGAAAGTCCAATCTGGATCATCTATGTTCAATATGGTGACCTAGAACAACACTGTAAATTTCATCGAGTCTGCAATCTTTGTAGGTGAATTTAGAGTTTTGCCTCTACACAGTTTCACAGGTCACTCTAGCTTCCGACCGATAAAAGCTTCTAGCCTCTTCATTATGCTCATGGTCTCAAAAGTTGGAAGTACATTCAGATATGAATTGGCTCCTCAAATCATTTGGTTTTCGCTACTTTGAAAAATGTAAATTGAAATTTTTTTTAGAACCAAAAGTTGACTCAACCAGGTGAGAGGAAAGCATTAAAAGCGCATAAACCTGGGCTATACCAGAATGCTGGGTCTTGATCCTAGAGCGAAAAATAAGCGCATATTTCATCATCAAGCGCAGGTTTAACAGACGACTCGGAATCCTACCTGTTGTCCTTTTCTCACAGTGAGGTCACCCGACCGGAAAGCAATATGACGATGCCGCATGGTGGCTTTTCCGAGCGCTTCCTAAAAATATCAAGAATCAAACATTCGGAATATTGACTTCCCTAGAGCCCTATGGACACACTCAGGATCACAGGCTTTTGCCGGCCAAGGATGGCTCCGTTACACCCTCTAGTTCCTTCTCTTCCTACGAATCTCCGCGTTACGTATTGATAATGATTATTTTGAATCAAAGCATGGGTAAAATTATAAGGGAGTTGGAGGAAATGAAGGGAAAGAAGAAGGGATTGAAGTGCTTCACGATTTTTCCTTCTACACAATAATGTAATGCCTTAGAAACAAGCATACAACATTGAAGTGGATTTAATCGCTGTTGTCTGGGAGGATACGTTACCTAACTGCTACAATAACGGCTTTGGATTTTCTCTATCTATGAGTAAATTTGAACTATGTTTCCTTTGTAAAATACTTCTTGAAAAGTTTCAGAGTTTCTACATTTCCAGCGTTAGTCAATCTAACTTTTGGAATGCGTCCTCACATTCGACTTCCACTCTAAATTATAGTTGCGTTTTGAATGCGGATGTGGCCTATGCAATAACTTGCGGCGGTTAGACGATGTACAGATCAGTGTTTTTAAACTCCCAGACAAGTCCTGTAGCATTTATCTGACCTCAGCGAATGGAAGGCTTGGTCAGCTGAGTATATATCCGGAATTTGATCCTACCGTTTCTGTTAGTGCGCAACTTGACACTACACCACCTTCCTCTCGAGAAGTTTAACAGAACAAAAAATGATTAGCATAACCAAGTGTATTGTTTCGAAAATGGCATACCAACCTATATTTCCTATATAAGTACTTACGGTGTTGAACGGACGTCCACGTTCCTTCTCTACTGGTAAGCTGTCCAAAAACCTCTGCAAGCTGGATTTGTGTAGATCTTTATGCAGAAAATGATTTGGCTGAAATCTTTATTAGATTACAATATTAGAATCTTCGCCAGCAACATGGGGACAATGAGATGTGCTTAGCACAACAGTGTGGTAATCTCCTAACAATTATCAAACTCCCAAAGTTTACTCAGCGCCTTCTTAGTCGTTTAGTACTCACAAACAAAGGATGAATTCAACCTGACGGAAAGCGCCCCGTATATCATAAGGTATGTTAGGCAATGTTCGGTGAAGGAAAGAAATCCATCTGTACGGATGCTATTGGTGGAGCTACATGATTCCATATCTGCCCCTTAAATAAACCCATGGTAGAAAGTGCTAGCCAATCGGTAGCTATCAGGGTGTGCGAAGAGCATGAGTATCTTCCGAAATTTGGCGAAAGTTTCATAACAACATGGTTTTTTATCCATTTGGTTATTCAACAGAATAATTTTTACCCAGCCATATGAAGACAAAGAAAGCTCGAAGGTCATCGTGAAGGGATAATGATCATTGTAACGTTTGACTTCTAGGTGGCGCTCCTACTAGCGCATGCACTGATTACGAAATCAGAAGAAGGAAATATTTGAAAATGATCCAGAGGTGATTTTGACGAGTTTTTAACGGAGTTCATAAATTTATACCGAATTTCTTACTGGCACTGCGAGTGTTCTTCTTCTGTCGGACTCCTTTCTTGAAATCCGTCGATTAAGCTCTGTCGAAGATTTCGTAACTTTTGGTGGACGACCTAAGAGATTATGTTCAAAGAGTTTATGTGTTCGAAGGAGAAGTCCTGTTACTAATCCTTTCTTTCTGTTCAGTTTGATTCCAGTAACCGTATTATTTCAGTAAAAATGCTTGAGTTGCTAGGATATCCCCTAAGTTCAGGAGCAGTAGTATCTATGTACATAAAACATACTCGGTTTGCGGTCCACAGTGAGAGTGCAATACGTCTGAGGGACGAAGCCATGTTTGCCATCGGATGAGTGGACGTAAAGCCATTCGTCTTCGCAGTACATAGCCTTCACTTTGGAGCCTTTTGGTAACGTCAGTTCATCAGCCACCTGAGGGTAACATTTTGTGAGCTGGACATCAATCAAAAATCGAGAAAAACATAGCGTGCTACGGCTGCAAAGTAAAAGCTGACTAGATATTTTTCGCCAAAAATTGCTTCCCGAAATTTTCCCTCGTTTAACAAGAGCTGTTATGGAAACGAATATACCAATAAATGATATATTTGCTTTTAACTATAATTATTGCCGCTGTTTTGGCCATTGCATCGAAGACCGGGGTAGCTGGGCACGTTTTGCGATTTTGTTATGACCTTTGGAGCAAGGCAAGAACTGAATATATCCTACAGGATGTCAAACTTCTGTACCAATCATTGATCAGGGCAGAGAATGATATTAAGAGGACAACTAGCCGTCGACGCATGTGGTGACGCTTGTTCCTAGGAAGAGCCCTTCTTCGGTGCGGAGCGGAGTGCAGCGTACGATGCCTTCTCGTCTCGGTCAGTGTGAAGACGTTTTATTCGATCTTTCTGACTTGTTTCCTTAGATCTTAAGCATACTGTCCCGATGCAAGTGTTCGTGCATTGGGAGTTCGGGTACAGAGCACAAGTACAGATATAAAATACTGAACTTCTCAGTCCATCTTAGTTTGGGCAGCCTCCTATGGTCCCGATATTTTCGTAGCTTCTTTCGACTTAGCTCAGCAAGGGTTTCACTTGAAGTTAAGGGACTGAGGCCTATTTCTATTACTGCTGTCGCCAGTAGATACCTGGAAGCAGCTTGCCTTTTTAATGCAAGGAGCTTTTCCCATGAGCCACTTGCGTTTGAACAGTCAGGTCTATGATTTGAACAATACCCCACATGTTGTCGAGCCACGACTAGAGTTCTTCCAAGTGATTCACAGTAAAGTAGATTCGTGAAGGAGGCCCATTGAAGAGAAGAGTCCCATACTGGATGATTATTACCCTTCAAGAACGACAGGTTAAGGCTTGGTAGTCAAAGGAGTGAGCGGGGCATTCCCGCTTCGTCACAGGAAGCAGGTGAGCTTAGTGCATGTTAGGTGGTATATGGTGGTATGGTGAAGCCATAAAAGGTTTGTGTCGGAAGCTATCGCAACTATGCACATACACTATGAGCTTAAGCTTCACCAAGGAATTAGGGGAAGTAGGGAAATTTGAAGGCCCTGTGTAGGGGCTATTGAGTGGTTTTAGTAGTTTCTATTGGTGACTGAATGAAGGCAGAAAAGTCGCCATAGCGATTCTAACGAGCATTTCAAAGTTGTTTCATTCGCTGTTGATAATCTTTTTCGAGTTGCAAAAGACATAACATTCTGCTCTTCGTAGGCAAGTCTGAACTCTTTTTGACAATATGATCAACCAATCCCATTGAGCCTTGCGTTTTACACGAAGCTAATTATACCGTTGCACTGAAACTTCTCTTCATTGTGCCAGACGTGAACGGCTTAATTTCCTTGACAGGGGTCGTTTGTGATCGATTATTTGCATCCGATGAATCTGGAAAAAGATTGAGATTTTTTGCTAGGAGTCTTGTTCACTATGAATTAATATAGACAAAAACTTTGTCTGCGTGTGTTCTGGGGGAGCAAGGGCTCCGAGAAAATCCGCGAACCAACGATAGGAGTGGGACTATGTTGGAAGTGAAAGGTGCAATTTAGCTTAACTTGTAAATCAATCGTCAAATGCCTATGCCAGGGAAATCTGAGTATTATTATGGGTCGTTGAAAAGCTTGTTATCTGAAATGCAGCAGAATATACTATTTGTTATGCGCACGTCCTTACTAGTCATACATTTCGGAATTATATGGTATGATGTTACTAGACTTTGTTGTCGGTGAAGGGATTTGATAACCTTACAGCGGTCGCTTTTATCATAGCAGGACGGATTTTCCTGTAGGGGTGACGTGAAAACCACGTTCTGCATAATCCGTCGCTCGACATCTACATATGTGCAGCTGTTAGGAGGTGCTATGATCACGGCTGAACTTGTGTTCTTCAACTGTTACGGCCGAGCCTTTATCCCGCCCAAAACACTAAGTTTGTGCAACGTATTTCGCATGTATTTTCCTACTCATGCTCCCAAAATGCGGGTCATGAACATTTAAACCAACCTTGTCGAAGTAGTAGTTTCGCTAGGAGGCTCCTCAGCCCCATTCCGTTTGTAATCTTCTTGTGCCTTGTTCCGGTTGCTGCTTTGAGGACCTGTGAACAGTAATCAGCAAGCTTATTAACGAGTTCTTTTAGAGAATGTGTAGTCAGAGAATCCTATAATACTGGTACCTTATTAAAAGAGAGACGCACAAATAGAATTAATGCTTTCGAGGAAAGATAAGCAGAGAGTGGACCTTCTTTGACTTTATTCAATTCGCAAAACTATGAGATCCACGAATTTTCAATCACATCCGAGAACTTCATCGTTACACAATCAAGAAACAAGACCTTATTTACAAAACCTTAGTTAAACGCTGTGATAGCCTTATTAAATTATGAGATGATTTCAAGTTGAGCCTAATGTAATTCACAACTTGTATCTGTTTATTTATTTGTTTATTTATTTACTTATTTATTTATTTATTTATTTTAACACTGAAATGTGTGCCTAATATAGAGGACAGAAGTCTTCATCATAAAATAGAAATTGACTGAAGAACTGTAAAAGTGCAATCATAAACGTACAGAAGGGTCCCTTTAAAATTGAAATTAAAAGGTATCATAAAGTATGAAGTAATGCTTCAGGATAAAGTAGAGACAATGAGATGATTCTTAACTTTACACCTAGTAATCCTCTTATTCTTTGGCATTTGTTCCATTTGAGAATGGTGATTTCATTTCTGGTGAATTACGCGCGATTAGCTCCACTAAGAAAAAATTTATTAACGAAAAAGCGTAGGGTTTGGCCGAACCCTTCTGAGCGCTACTGTATGTAAATAAGGCTCACAACAATATTCTAAAATTGGATTGCGAAAATCTGTGAATGAAACTGAAATTTGATCAAATTTCCAGTGTGGAGGTAAGCTACAACCGAAATTGTTGTTCCACTTTTGCTCTAAATAAGACCCCTTCGCATTCGCACTTTCACTCACTCAACTGTGGTGTAACTTCGCACAACTGGTTAATTATTGCCCTCTCTGCTCAGCTGGTTTGAATCGGTTGTATGAATTAAAAATCGAATTAAATTCCTTTTTTTGAGAAAAGCATAGAAGAAAAAAGAAACTTTATGTTAACATAAAAGGCGAAGCACTGTAAGATGTGAAAAGGGACCAATCACGGAATGATTGAGTGAATTTATTATATGTAGTGTGGGAATCAGTCCATGATCGACTTTCTTCCAATCTTGGCATGATATATAGCAACTGTGATACTCTGATTGTGATTTCATATTCAAAACCTATTTGGCCAACTCTGGAACGTTGGCCAAATAAATTGTTCAATCTTGAGAGGAATCAGTCCCTTTCCCTACTTCCTTTTCCTGATGAAATAGTATTGTGTTTCTCTGTTATATTTTGTCAGAATGTGTAATTGTAATAGTAGAAGTGATGAAGTATTTAATTCATAGAGTTAGGCTTCAGTTTTGCTAAGTTTGACAGAGAGGTCTTAATCAACCAATTAAGCGAAGTCACGCCGCAGGTGAATGAATGGCAGGTTAATGAATGAAGATAGAATGATCTAGTTTAGATGTGAGGTCCTTAACCCCCAACGAAAGTCCAAAACCGTCTCGTGAAACAGTTGAGTACTGAATTCGTTGGTAGTACTGATCAATAGTACCAGAACAAATAAACAGAGGAAGCGGAAGGGTTAAAAGGCTTCAGGAAAACTGATGTTCAAGAAATGAGGGAATTCAAGCCGCGCAGGAGCACAAGATTGCAGTCTTGACACATTGCTTATTTGCTTAAGATTGGAACAAAGAAATCCGGATATGACAAATTCAGTCAGCATTGCTTGATTGCTCGCATGGTTCAAACTCAATTCGTATTGTTCACAACAGTATAATGTACCTGATTTTTCTCGGTAAGTAAATGAATCTGCGAGCAAATTTCCGTTACCATTTGCATCAGCTTTCTACTTTTCATGTTCATAAATACTTCTTGCGAAACTTTTGAAAACACCGTTCACGCTAAAAATGGTTTCTGAGATTCCCTTTTTTCCGTTTTCTTGAGATTGAAATGGCTAAAGGTAAACCTGTGACGATCAAGTGTAGCACAAGGGACGCTTTTGGGTTGAAGAATGGCTTAGATAGGGCGCGATAGGGGCCCCAAAACCGGCTTAGCCGACGTACATACCTAGGATGGACGAGTTGTCACGACGTTTTAGAGGCTGTCGAGTTTGCACCACTCGCACCGGAGCGCACATGTTGCATGGACGAAACATTCGCCCGTTTGGAGTTGCACGCAGGTAGCTTACTGCAACTAGCTGTAAGCAATGGCACACACATTTGGACAGCTCGTCCGGTTACCTCTACCATGCATTCTTATCGTCATATTCTATCTAACCCCTAATTTTACTTTTTTTGATGCCTTTCAATACTCTGGACACGCCGATTTTCTCGTTTTCTTCGCCTTGGGCCTCGATTTGGACAGATCATATGCCAACTGCAGACGAATCTGAACTTTTGCCTGTGAATTTTTGTATCTTTCTTCTCGATCGCCTCGAAGGTAGGCATACGATTTCGTGGGACAAAAGCGTGATCTGCTCAGGCTTCCTCTATTGTGCTTTGAAACCTTCTTCTCCCCTATTCTTAGATCTGAGATCCTTTGAGTGCTTGAACGGCGTCTAGTCAGCCCTTTTTAGGTGTCCTTTCCTTCTTACGGAATAATTATGTGAGTATTGAAAACAATTTGGGGGAACAGAGGCGCTATTTCTCTTCCAATATTCTCTCTTTGCTGAAGTCAACAAATCTCTATGACCCATCTATTTAGAATTCCTAATCCATACTTGTCCGCGTTAGGTAATACTTTACTATCTTCACTCAACGATGCTTCGTTGCTTCTTCCTGGACTGCCTCACAATGCTCACATCATTGTTTCTTACTCCAAATGTGGACCACTCTCAAGACTATTCAGACCTCATGAATTTTTTCTTATATTTACATCTTGACAGTGTACCCATGTTCTCTTCGTTCTGCAGAGGAAATAGGCACACTGTTCTGCAATTGATGTTCTGCACTCCCGGTACAAAAAATACCTTTTGATCACTTATTCACGGTGCCTATTACAGATATGAACTGTGTGTCTACAAAGGTTGGCGATTTTGTGGGCAGAACTCCAGTCTCGGACGGGTCTCGAACCCTACTTGTTCTTTCCGGGGACCGTGCTCTTATCCCGTACACTACTGAGACCCCGAGATGTGTGTCTACATTTCCTTTATATGAGGTCGATTCCAGCTCCCATCCCTTTGTGCTCTACATGGCGACCCTGTGCGGTCATTACCTCTCTCGAACTAGGGAGGGTTTTTCTTTACGAGCTCCGCCAGTGGCCACTCTCAGCTTCTTTTTACTTTTCCATCCTTTTCTGAGAAGATAATGCTTTCAAAAATTGTCCGAGGAAAGAGAGGTCCAGTTACCCTTTTACATTCTCATCATGCCGCAGTCAGCGGATCCTGATGGACTGCAACTGTTCATGAAGAAGGGATTTGAGATAGGCGCTACTTAGGAGTGCAGATTCTAAACCAGGGCTCAAAGCTGAATCCAGTGAGAACTGAACGAATCTTCCTCTGAAAGATATGGCAAGTATTGGCTTACGTTTCCAGTGCCCACCAAGTACCTACAATATTTTTGCTAGAATAAATACGCCTTGAATGCTTAAAGTATTGCACAACCACACAGGTTTGAAGGGCATGAGCCGGCAATCCTTACGCCTTCTTCTGCATCTGCAGATACTTGGAAGGATGAGAACGTTCTGATGTATTGTAGTAACCCCACAAAATGTGTTCAACCTTACCACCAATACCTTGAATCTTTGTGATTTTCCAAACAAGAAACTCGATGGACAAGATTTATTCCACCGAAATTGTGTAGTCTTTACATAGAAGAGATGGAGAATTTACATACAGAAATGCTCAGATTACTGGGTGTACTTGTGTGCATTTACGAACCGCCCGGCGGCCGTGGGAGGTAAAGCTACAGTCTGTTCATACTTTTCGGGAGGCAGCTGTGAGAGGGTGACACGACTGGCTGTGCTTGAATGGGAAACAATACGTGAGCAGCGGCAGCAACTCACTGCACCGTTCCCTGACTATGTCTACACAAACGACGAATACTATTTACAAATCGGGAACGGGGAACTCGCACAAACCGACCATGACAATCAGGAGTAGAGTTCCCATTCCCACGCAACATCCCTTCGTCTCAGTTGACGGACACAAACAATAGAGCAATAGAACTCGTCCATATTGTTCAATTGCTGCGTACGACTACAGCAAACAAGGGTGTATTGCTCACAGACAAGGTATTTTTTGGCAGCGGCACATATGGAATATTGGCCTCAGTTTTCGGAATTATCCACTATGTATGTATAATACATGATTACGCTAATTACACTTGCTATATAGCGCTCTTCAATTTACGGTATCATGAAAAGCCTATCAAAAGCACTTATAAGAAAGAGAGATGATCCATGAACGTACATAGAAAAGCTATACGCAACTTACACAACTGTACAAAATCTATACAAAACTTAGAAAAAGAGAGATGAAGAAGAAGAAAAAAAGGTTAAAAGGTTCACTAGCTGCTGCGTGTCGGTCCGGTGTCAGGTGGTCTGGCTAAGGAATGAGACGATTAGTCGATGTTGTTGACCTGAAAAATGGAATTTATGCGTTTTTAGGCCAGTCTGATATATCGAGGTATCTGAAGCGTCCGCATAGCTCAGAATCTTTGGAAGGGCTTCTAGGAGAGCTGGGGTGGAGAAAGTTCATTTGCCCAAAAGATACTGGGAGTGGGGGAAAGAGAGATGGAGGACGTCAACCTCACAGAAAGAGCGAATACAGGCAGTCTTTCTCATACAGGTAATCATTCTCAAAGTACTGGACAAGGTATGAAGGCAAGGTATTGACAAATGGTTGACTCATTTGAGTTGCGCCACGCATTCGTTTTATCCTGGAAACCCGGACGTCATGGACCTTCTATATGGGCGGTGGGTAATGCTAGGTGGTGCACCATTACTGCAATGGTGCGGAGATCTAATTTCGAATAGGTTCCCACTAAGGGCTATCCACCCCAACCCTCTGACAGTTCGGCTGATTTGTGAAAGGCCCATTTGACACGACATAACTACTGACTCGTACAACGATTCGTATACGCCTTTACCTCCCAGGTCATTGCATTGGCTACATACCCACTCAAACGCCAAAGCGATTCCGAATGAAAATCGAATGCCAATCGAATTCCCACAGAAGAAACTGATGGGTAAGATAAGCATTGTCCTCTGTGCTTCTGGTGGAATGTCATTATTTAGGTTTAAGATTCCAGATTCCACTAATCGATATGATCAGGGCTTCATTGAAATTGCATTTTCCTCTGACTCGACAACCATGCTAAGGTGAGATTTTGTTTTTTCTAGAGTACCTTCTCGGCAATACCCCACTAATTCAAACGCGCATCGCGGTCTTCGATGAAAGGCCAAATTTTGAGAACAAATTCCAATGGTTGAATACCTTGCGATCGTTGTTACGTCCTGACGACATTTTGCCGACTTTCTTGGAACGCGTTTTGGTCTTTGCTTCACTATTGACGTGAGTCGCAGCCGTTGCACGCTTCAATTTGCCGGCAGAAACCAATGCCGTTTTCGCCTTCAACGACGTCAACGTTACGGAACTACCTGGCGAGTCGACATCGGCAAACAGCTGAAATATTTACTTTTCGAATTGACAGATTGAATTGAGGGCCTTCTGCGTAGGAAGTTAGAACGCTACTGAGAAGTAGTTAGAGAGCTGTCGTAAGCTTTGCTATTCATCATCACGATTCATCTTATCTAGTTAAAAAAAAGGGCTCAAAAGAATACTTTTTCGGTTCGTTTCACCTTATAAGAAACATAAATTGAATAGATAAATTAAAAAGTTAATCAAAATAGAATATAAAAATAGCCATTCACTCAACCTCGCGTACTAGACTGAAGCAATTTTTTCTGATTTCTATCCTCTGAAGATATTCCAGAACATATCTTTGTCAGAAAAGCAAACTAATTCCCTCTCCTCTCCTTGCGCTTCTCCATATCCTCTATGCTCCCCTTCCCTCCTACCCCTCCCACCCCTTCTCCACGCGTAAATACGTTCCCTCGGTGATTCCTGCTCAAATTTCCATTCTAATTAACTCCATCCATTACGGACTATTGATATTCCTTCTACTCGACTAGATTTTGTAGACTACTCCTCATACTCTTCTTAGGTAAGCCGCTACAGCATCGAAGAGGTATTATAAATGTTGTATTTAGTGAACATCCCATATAGGCTATGGTGTTGATTACGTATCCAGCCCTAATGATACAGCATGATACGGCATCATATGATGAAGTGCCAATTACGTGCACCAGCTATTATGGCACACTTTAAGCAACATTACCACCTACAAGGTGGCCTTTCCACAAATGTACTACATAGAGGTCTTATCGAGACTCCTCCTTTCCCACTTTGACCCTTAGCCCCGATCACAATAGTGTGAAGGGGATAAAGTGCCACGACGACCATGAGGAAATGGACAGAGTCGATCTGTCACCTGCACTTTGCCTTTGCGCGATTGCCTTTGTTTTTCAGAGTATCACCCTTGATTTCACTTTATTTCAGCCCCATCCTTTGTCCCCTTTCTAAACCATGCGGTGTCCGGTTCTCCTTTGTGACCACATCGAAAACTTACAGCGGGGCCGTTGTTGTCTATAAAAGCAATTAACCACCAGTGAATTAATTACCTTTCGGCGCGTTACAGATTCGGCGGTCATGTCCGAAGGGGTAATTGGGCCGGCCGGCGCCGGCACGAGGATGGCGATCGGATCACAGCGGCAATACGATTCGTGGAGAGGAAAGAAGAGCGGCATGGTCGTAACGACTAACGAGCCACATGATCATTACGATGAAAAGGATCGGGTGAAGATTTACTGCTCGACACGAAATTGGAGCGAACCCCGAACACTGGAACGCGAAACGGCTGGGTGACGTGAAACTGGTTGCTTCTTGAGACTTTATGGGCCTCGAAATCCGCCCAGTCTCAATTTAATGGGAAATCTCAAACTCCGAAAAACTCCGGTTCTATTTCACGTACACCGCTAAACATTATGCACCTAACAGTCCAGATTTTGTCTAGCTAGGTTATATTGGGCAAGCACTTCATTCACCTCCTGCTAGGGACATTGACTCGTCCAAGTGGAGATTTCCGAGTTTTTTGATTGAAGCTATAAACGAGCAGAAAGAACGAATCCTTCTGGGGCTTATTGGTTGCGGTCGGTGATAGAAGAGTCGAGTAAGCTCCCAAGAGCCCTTTCGATTCATTGGTAATGAGCATACGCCCTAGTTCTGGATACTCCAAGCTGTGCCGTTTCATCTTTGGTTCTTACCCCAGGACTCCCTGACATTTTACCCAGGGGAGGCCATTGTGACGTTACTATAATATTCTCCTTTGGAAGTGCCCCGCTCACATCTGAGTTCCCTGAATCTTTCGATTGATTCATCTATCCCCAAGAACGAGTTACATTCCGCAACCGCGTGATACCTGTGACCACTCAGGGACAAGTCTTATACGTCATGACGCCAATAGTTCAATCCCCAAATACGGTCCACGAGGCATGTGACTAGCACGTTGGGAGAGATCGTGGAAAGCGACTCATCCCTTAAGTTCAAATGACATCCTAAGCCTGACGTTTCACATTTCTCCAAGATAGATTCGTCCTCCGCTGAATCCCTAGAGTGCAAAAGGCTCCACCTGCTGCCATAAATCGGCGTCGTCTCCATTACTTCGGCTTCTGATCCGGATATTTGCGCAGTCGCAACGTAATACAATGACATACGATGCATCGTTAATGGCTGATGTCCACGAAGGTACCGATTTCGTGACGGCACTACCCTACGATTTTCCCCATACGGAACTTGTAGTCATGGAGGGCTCCCTCTGACTTCTGTAGTCATTTTGCTCATCGTAGCGCAGGAGAACCAATAGGCTTACGAGATTGTTTGTGTACCTCAAGGTCAATTCAGAAGAGTGGGGAATGGGGTAGAGGCGAAAGGAGGGGCTCAGAGACCACCGTCGGCTATGAACTGATAAACGGAATCGGCCAGAGAAGGAATACCTATTCAACCCTAAAGTGCTTAATCCGATGGTAATTAGGCTTAGATACTTCTTACGCTTCTACAACTGTTTCCATACTAACTGAGATTACATAAGAGAGGGGAAGTTCCTTTCCTCGGCCCCAAATTACCGAATTCATTAGATTTTTTTGTTAGAGCCACATTTATAGTCAGTACTGGAAGCCTTCACCGCCCTCCTATCCCCCGAAGCTGTATAACCAGCTTTATAGAGATCAAAGTACATAGTAGTTTGGCACAGTTTGACAGAGACTGAGCCAGTACTTTCCCTCATCAATTAGGGCTGAAACGCCCGCCACCCAGATAGCCTCTTATCATTTAGGGAAGGAGGGAAACAACCACATGGGTACTTCATTCCGAACTGAAGAAGAAAAACGTGATTACAATATACCACGAGAAGTTGATGATAAGAAAATTCCAGACGAATTAAAAAAGTGCATTGTAGTTATGCAAAACGATAAGCACTATCGAGTAGCGGGACGTTTACCAAAAACAGTAAATCATTTGATTGTGTTGAAAGAATGAAAACCCTCTTCTCCCTTCATGTTTGTGTCACCTTCCTAAGCTGATACGCGTCAATGGATAAAAAAAGCATGGGAAACATATGGGTGGGTAGCTATGGGAATTCACTCACCACTCGTTCCAATTGAAGTCGATGCGCGCTGGCGGCTTTCGCCTGTCGCAATTCTTCGCTTCGTCGAATTTCCTCGGCTGTTGGTGGTGGCGCTGACTAAATTAGAGTCGAAATTAGATTGGGACATGATGAAGTGCACTTATAAATCCTATTCTGAAGAAGAAATTCTAGAAATTCTAAAATTTTGTGTCGTAAAAATTCGGCCCTGAGAGGAGCAATCTTGTGGGAATTACCAATATACCAAGCAATCACTTCGTTATTCGCTCTAGAAACAAAACCTTGATGGGCTTCAGAATAGGAAGATAAGATCAGCAATAATCCTGGAGTTAACTTATCAGTTCCTATCAGCTAGGCAGGCGAAGGTGGTGTGGTGGCAATTGGCGCACTATCAAACACGCAAGGTCACATTCTCGATTCCGGGATGGACGTCCATCTAGGCACCCAAGCCTTTCATGATGTACCCAACTAGCCGACACTGAAGCCTTTCCTCAGGGGTGTAAGTTGGTACATCTAGTCAGGTTTCTGCGGAAGCGAGGAAACCCTAATCAAAAAATGGAAAATGCTGTGAAAGGTTCCGAGGAAGCTGTGAAGAGGAATATGAAGAGGGTGGTTTGATGAGCATCTTAAGAGGTCCCTGTGCAGAAGTACTCGTTGAGGGTCAGGAAAAGAAAATCAAAAGGAAAATTTGAAAAGGTTTCTTTCAAATAGAAATAAGATTCCTCCAATGGTAAGCAATGCAGAAAGGAGCTTGAAAGGGGGCAACGTAAGCTTGAGAACTTGTCTGAGTTACTATTCACCGATTGACTTTACAGTTTCTTGAGCAAAATGCCTTATATTCTTAAATTCATAAAATTAAGTGGTGCTACAGAAGCAGAAATCAAAACAAAATGATTTCTGGGTAAGTTACCTTCACCTTTTTCGACGCGAATGACAGCTGGTCGATGTCACGAAGCTCCAAATTAGGGATAAGTTCGGGGGAGCTGCGACCAGATGGTGCATCTGAAAAGGAAGTGAAATGAGAAGGTAAAGAAGGGTTTTTGTTTATTCATACGTTGATTGCAATAAACTGAAGATATAGTTTTATCTTTACTCGTGGCGATGCTTCAAATTCTGCTGGCAGACTTTTTTATTCTTTCGGTAGCCCCAGCCACCTTCGGAGCAGTAGCGGGCATGAGACTCTCTGGTACTGTTTATGTAGGAACGTTCATTGCGTCATAGATTGGTAGTCGACAATCACTAGACACAGGGCCGTCATCACTACATACGACACGGGAACTACTCGACGCCTGAGAACACTTGAGTCACCTCAGCCTAGAGAAACTCGCAAGCAGATATATCGATCTGGGAAGCCCACATGAAACTAAACGAGTAGCAGTCACCGAAAATCTTTAAATCCCCACGCCGAGTCATCAGCGTATGAAGGAGGAGTTTTCAAGAGGATTCCGAAATCGATTTCACCGTATGACATTTATAATTCCACAAATATAAGCCTTCGAAGCCTCTGAGAAAATTGCCCGTCAAATTCCTCGTTCAAAGAGCTGCTGTGAGAAGTAAACAAGCGCAGTTAGCCAGATAGGAGCTTCGTGATCATTACGTTTGCACTAAGCTTACGATAACACATGTGAGAGCAGCTGGCAGGGCCTTTTTGAATGTAATACGCTTCCTAGGTCAGAGGAAGCCAAAGCCCCATTACAAGGGGTCAAAGCTAAAAGTTACGTGCGAAAGACAACAAGGTATACCGCCGGACCTACCATACAAACTGGTCAGATGTTAATGTGACCAAAGCTTTTTGGAGAGACACACAGCCCAGCCTCCCTCCCACACCAAGGCCATGGCTCGATATTAGACCCATTCCAGGAGCCTGATCTAGATTGAGGCTCGAGAATAACAGTGAAAAGAGCACGAAAATAACAAAAAGATGCTAAAATGAATGGGATACTGTCTTCCAAGGACAGCTCAGGGACTACTCTCTAACCAGGAACACCATTGGATTTTTATAAGAGGTCTGCCACGGGGATAAATTAATTCAGCCATCGGTCGATGAGGGCAGCAGTCACGATAATTTGATTTTCGCCGATAATTAAGATGATGTTGGTGGTTAAGAAGCAAAAAAATGGAACAACGGAGATCAATAAGCGGCGGAATAGCTGCAAATTTGTAAGCTGCTCCAGAGAACCGGCGAGAAAAATGGTAATATTTGGATATTTTGACATTTGGATAAACAGGACCACACCATGTCCCGCGCTCTATGTAGTTTTGATTTTACCATATTCTTTCCGATTTAACCCTATTGCTCCATTTATAAGCCCCTATTGCTTCTTCATGGATCGGAGAATAAAAGGTCACCGGCTACCTAAAGAAATAGGTCCGAATTTTCCACATCTACGATAGTTTTATTCAGGACCTAATTTACCTTTTGTCCTCTCACCCTATTCTGTTTGAATCTTTATCTCAGTTTGCTTTCTCTATCACGCTGCACTTCATTTTCTAACTTGTCTAATCAGTGACTCTCTAGAATGGAATAATTTCTGATAATGAAACCATCCGGTAACCATCTCTATAGCACGACCCATTGGGGGAGAAAAGCCATCGATTATCGCACTGTGTACTCTTCCACTAACCAGTAGATGTTAGTAGTATGCCAGGAACAAACAAGATTTGCGACTCAAGCATAACGTAACATATTTACCTCGCAATCAGGCCCTCCAGCATCGTGGGTGTGAGCTTTTCTCTATTAAGATCATGGAGAATCCTTTCTTGTTTGTGTACCAGGCTTTTGGGAAGAGGCCCGATTAGAGGTCAGCCCTCCTGCGTGTAGATAAGACTAATGTTGAATCGGTTTCACCGTTCACTGTTGGAAGGTCTCGAGAATCTTATGAATATGCTGTGAGTGGCCCAGCGTTCGATTGCATCTTGGACCCTATCTCGCCTCAAACCTCAGGAGGGTTGTGAAGGATTCTGATCAGGTAATTGCAGAGACTCCACCTCCTGCTTTCGCCATTTCAGGCTGTTAAGAAAACATCACCATCAAGAAGCTAAAGCCAAGGTCAGAGGAGTTAGTTACCAATCTCAGCCATATTAAGGTAACAGCACATTCATACTATAATAAAATTCGAAAAAAACCTCCATTTACTACTTCTGCCAACAGATAGGAAAATTCAATGCTTAGTCGTAGGTTTGAGGGTACCGAAGATTTTGAAGAGTGCGACAGGACGGTTTCGGTTGGCTTATCTCGATGGAATAATTTTGCTTCATAAACCTCGAATCGCCCAATGAAGTATTGGCCCTAGGATGAGGCTGACGCGTTAGCTTTCAGGTAAAAGTTCAATATTGTGAGTATTCTTTTCATTGGAATATGTAATCCATCGTACTGCTACTAGTGCTGGTTCTAGGCGGTGGGTCAATTGAAATGAGGAAACCTCTGCGAACGCAGGTTTCCACAACTACAATAGCAGCCAGTATACTTTCTGGTAAACGGTTCCACCGTACGTCACCAATTGTAAAAATGGGTCATACCTTGTCGGTGTAGAACGCTTGGCTTGGACCCTTGCCTGCAGTTTGCATAACTTTTTGCTGCTCGAGATTTGCTGCTCAGTTCTTGCAAACGATAGGCAATATTCGTGTTAATTTCTCACACCATCGTATTCATGAATGCTTCTTTTTCGCCGAATTCTGTCGTTTTACGTCCGATTCAGTGAGCTGTCGCTAATTGAATGCACATGTTGTGTGAGCGACGACCGTGAGAGAAAGTGTGCGACATATTATCGCCGTTGTGGCACAATGGGCCGACGCCGTCACGCCCTTCAGTTTCGCACGCTTCACCAGAAGACTGGCAAGTGCGAAATCGTACATACACCTTGAATGGTGAGAATCTAGAACAGTCACAATGCATCAACATCAAACAGCTGATACTCTCAGGGAAAGCCCTACAGATAAGAAAAACCCAAGCAAACCTATATGAGTTAAAACAACGATCAACGACTGAGAGGTTGACTAGGTCACCTACCTCAGCGACTTCATCGATAGTGTCCAAACAGTCCAATCTGGGAAGTTTCATGGGAAACTCCCATATCCTCCTTGGGACATATTCTCAGATTTATTTCATATCGTAAATATTCTTTCTTATATGTTGGATACCAGATCCGGCCGGGTAATCACTTACAGGCTGTACCACGAATCGGGTGCAGAGCCATCAGTGAACAAAACCAATCCATGTGAAGAACCCCAAGGAAGTAAAATCGAGGGCCCGTTAGGCAGGTGCCCAACCTGCGGCCTTTAGTGCCAACATAATGGGAGTCAATGGGCCCAAGTGGGAGATGCTAGCACACCTATTGTGAATTTTCAATTCTTACCCATGAAATAACGCCTCAGAACTATACATATGTGCGTTCTTAGGGAAACCAAGGCAAAACAGATTTGTTGTTCTGCTGAAGTGGACGACACGGGACGCGGCCAACAAAGAAGTATCACTCTTTGTACACTTGTGATGGTCGCCTTTTGTTATCTTTGACAATACTCACTATGTGATCCGATAAGTAAACCATCGTGCTGATCAAAAAATACTTTCAAAGCAAGCAAAAAGTAGAGCATTTCCCCGGACAGCTTGTCTGAGCTGTTTTTGTGATTTCTGAGTTTCAGGGATGTTTACCAGGACTGCATTATCGATTCTTTTCCCAAAGTTGCAGCCTATTCAACAAGATTTTGGCACCTTTTCTTAAAACGAGATGATGCTCAAAGGGTGTCGGAATGGTGTGATTTGCCTGGGTAAGGAACGACCCGTGTTCTGATTCCTTGGTTCTTAAAGCAACTAGGGATTATTTGGGAATTTCTAATAATAACTCATCTATATTTCCGGCACCGCCCGATTGGGATATCTGAAGACGTCATCTATTCAATCATTTCTTCAATGCAGAGCTCATACCGCATTCTGTAGCAGCATACCTAATCCTGCATACTTAAGTTTGTCCTTCATCAAAGGAATCGATGTATTTGTGAGTATTGAAGGAATTTTTCGAGGTAACCTTCGAAATCATGCTATCAAAGGAAGTGGTCGGAGGTGATGTAGGGTCTAGTAAAGCAGCATTATAGGCATGGCCAAGTGATCCAGTCTCACCATCAGATCGATACCCTTCCACGCCAAGGGAACCTTCCACTCGTCAAAGGGCGATTAATTGGTACCAGGCTCCTTACGATTAAAGCATTGATTTCTTCGGTTTGCCACCGCAGGTGTGGGTATAGGCTACAAACGCATCCAAATCGCCTTAGGATTCTGATTAGGGGTCTGATGAGCTACTCGTCTCAAAAAAAAGTTCATTAACGCTAAACCACTTATTCAAAAGACTTCAAGGTTGCTAATAAAAATTCAAATTCGAATTAACCTTATTTATTAAAAGTACTATAAGCTTTACTAGGCACTTCGCAGATCCAAAACACGTTCCATACTATCATATACAACAAATGCGCAATAGGCTGGCAAAACTGGTNTGGTCGAGCTCAGATTGCTTGGGCGATAGCCATACCGGTCATTAGAACTTTGGCATTTTATTCAGCAAAGCCAGCTTATATCTCGGAGTTCGATCGCAAAACGAGCTCATTTGACATTCATTGACTTCCTGCCAAGGAGATTTGGCCACAGTCACCTGGCAGGAGGGGTAAAGAGCAAAAGAAGTAAGACCATCGACAAATCCATTGATTTCCAAAACATGTATCTCGAAGCCAGTCGGGAATCGACCACCAAATGGTTTAGTTTTCGCTTCTGGGCTCGTCCAAGGAAAACAAGCAATGTGCTTCATGGTCTCTACCGGTTTTTCGTTCCCCCGTGACAAATAAGATTCCCAAGACGGATCCCACACCATCACCTCTACATTTTTAACGCCCAAAGTTGTGACCGCTGACCTTCCGCCTGCTCTGTACATTGCAATCAGTTCCTCTCCTCCCTAATCTTTGACCATACATGAGCAGTTTGAAGGGACAATCAACTGGCTCTAATTAGACTAAAGGCCGAGCAAACCCACTTAGCCAGAAATAATTTAGCCAAAACGGTGGCCCTCACACAGTTACACCTCGCTGAACCTAACTGGGAATAGCTAGAGCTAACTCACCATCAACCAGGCACCAGTCGTCCTCGGTCACCTTTCCAGCAGGACTCAACGACGTCTCGCTGTCATTGGAAACCTGAAGAAAACTAATCGATAAGCATGTTTTGCATTGGGCTGATTATGTAGCGTGAAGGATGTTGTCTACTGACATAATAAAGTGTTTCTTGGCTCTTAAGACTAATTTCTGATGTTGAGATGCTTTTAGTTAAGATTTCCGTCACTTCTAACACTTCAGCGATCTTCGAAAAATCAATCAATATATCGATCGACTCCTAACTTCTGTCAAAAAAGTATCAGTTCCAATGGGATTTTGTTGAAAAAGTCGCGAAAATTTTTCAAAATCTTGCTTAATCCCTGAACTTTCGGGATCCAATCATTTCAATTTTCCATGGCGTACCTGAGAATCGTTGGAGTCCTCAGCGCCGAAGATGTAACCGTAGAGACCGTGCAGCATAGTGTTATGGAGGGAGAAGAGAGTGGAGGAGGAGAAAGCCTAGAAGGGCGCCTTCATTATTATCGACGTGGTGGCCGACGAGGAGGCGAGAAAACATGCACCACTCGACTATACACATGAGAATTCCATTCAAATTGGCTCGATGATTGGGAATTCGAGGAAATTCCTCTTCTGAGAGCTGGTTGGGAAAGGAATCGAAGAACAAATTCGACAAAGATATTTGTGAAATGGCGTATAGATGTAAACATGGCAACATTGAGTGATCGGAGAGCACACGTCACGGCGCACGCATCGGCGCAAAGGCTCTAGGTTGAGGTTGAGAGAAGAAAGGGAAAAATGTCAGCGGGGTGATCGGTAACGTTCATTGCCTCACCGAGCTACTGATGGGGCTTATACACTGGTAAAATTAATTTTTTCTCAAAGACAGACCAGAAATCGGTTATGGTTTGGTTCAGGATAACTTAGGTAACCAGTAAGGTCAATAAGTAAATCTTGGATGACTTTTGAACTACCAAAAGGATCATTTCAGTATTATGAAGTCCATATGTACAGCTCGGAAAAGGAAGCGGAACAGAATGGTAGTCTGACGGGGCGGAGCCTGCGCGATGACGCCAAGAGTACGCTCCACACACGGATATCATGTGAATGGTGCGCACGGGGTGGTAGACTATGGGGCGGTCGCTGACCCCGTCAGAGACGCAGAGTTGGTGCAATTGGGTGGGAGCAGACAGACGGGGGAAGGGGAGTCGAGTGTCCATCTATGGGGAGCAGGTGTTCATGCAGGCGTAACATCCACCCGAATAGGGCGTTGATATATCAGGGTTAGCGTTGAAAACCGTTGTGTACGTGACACCATGACCGTAATTGGTAACGCCAGATGGATGAGCACGAGCTCTAGGCGATCCAAATGGCTCGGCTACCGGAAAGAGGATTTCCCTACGAGACTTCCATTCATGGTTGATCAAAAATCGTCATCGCTTCAGGGCGGTCTTTGTTTGAGAAGTTTTCCCACCCGTAACATAAGTGCAACACACATGCGGATTGGTTTACATATGGAACAATGGAAATGTAAACAAAATGTGCGATGAGAGGGGGGCATAGAACCTTAGCCGCCATGCCATTTTTCTGGCTACATAAACATAAAGATGAAAGAAAGCCTCAATGAGTTGCCGGCGTGTGTGCCATTGTAACGGAAGGTGCCCGTGCCTCCTACGGACCAAAGGTCAGTTTTGTCGTGGGCCATCCACACCTGGGACAAAGCGGGAGAGCTCCACCTAAGGTCCATGGGCCTTACTAAGTTATGGGTGCGCTCATATTCAATCGAATCTGCGATTCTGAATAGAAGTCGAAAGGCGAAAGTCTGGTACAAAGCCCATTGTCCTACTGGAATCTTATGGCCAGGCAAAAAATTCAAAAAACAGTCGGATTAGCTCATCCAAATCGCGGATTTTTCCAAAACTCTGTGCCCTATTCGATAAGATAGAGGCCCAAAAGGAGAAATTGTTCAGGGCTGGAACAACCTCTCCCGTTGCTGTGAAGTTTGACAACAAAAAGAGACTATAGGAGGCTTGTGAGATTCAGGAATGAATTCAGAAAAGCGTTTTATGAAACGTCCTTCAAGTCTCCCCTCGCCCATTTTGAGTCGCCTATTGGTGAAACACCAAGGCGTCAGCTAGTCTGGCACACACCGATCAGAGCCGTCTTTGAAAACGAAAGCACACATATCGGCCAAGCACCAGAAATGGGGTTAGGGGAAGCCGCATGGGATACCACCGTCTTTGAAAGCGAAAGCGCACAACATATCGGCCAAGTACCAGAAATGGGGTTAGGGAAAGCCGCATGGGACACCATCTTTGAAAACGAAAGCACACATATCGGCCAAGCACCAGAAATGGGGTTAGGGAAAGCCGCATGGGACACCAGAATTAGGAACAAGGAAGTCTTTTCAATGGATCGATTTGCGCCCACCCGACAACTGCCATATGGCTTAGAATACTTAAATTCCTCATGAGACAGTTGTTACGCCCGGCACGTGTATGTACTGGAAATAATCCAAAATATTTTTTCACTTCAGAGTTTGATTGATGAATTCAACGTGAGTTAAATGAAATTTTTCTTCGCCATAGGGACCATTGAAGTTTAGACAGATATTGGTGGAATTTTTGGGGTTCTTCGTGGAAGAGGGACTGGGGAGAAGGGGGGAGGGGGCTTTGGCTGGAGTACGAAGTAGTTAAACAACCATGTACCAACGCTCAGGTGTATTTTTCTATCAAAAATACAATTAGTAAAGTCAAACAAAGGCTAGATTCTCTTAAAAAATGCTCTTCGAAACTGGTTCTACCCTTTTTGCTTCCCAAGACTTTGTAGAGACAAGGGGAACAGCAACAGTGCTCCCACATGATCTCCCTATCAACCAAGCCCACGCCAGAAATGAGGCTGTCAGGGAGTGTAGCGAAAATTCTTGTCAGGACATTAATCATTTGCACAAGTCATCGGCTAGCCGACCTTGATCCTCCCCGGTTTTCGACCTCCTTCCACGATCACATAATCCTGACCTGTCCCCCGGAAAGCTTGATCCTTCTGAGAAATTCAAGCTTTCCTGAAAGAGGCTCCAAACTGTAGATTCGCCCAGATTAAAGTCGTCTACTGATGAAAATATAATGCCTATAATAAATTTCTACGAGAATCTGCAAATGACCTGGCAAACGGGACGGGATGCATCTTCAATTGTAAAAAGATAATTTCGTTGTAAATAATTGGGGTGATTAACGGAGAAATGAGGAGACGGGAAAAAACTAATGCAGACGTCCCGGTTGTTCGCGTGGTCGTTGTGAGCTCTACACAATTTGAAGGCTGTTGCCAATAATCCATAAACGCCATATGGCGTTGATGGGGTCTTTATAACGAATAGCTTAAGCTTCAACTAATCCTCTACAACAAATTTGAACCTACTATGCTGTTGGGGACCATTATAACAAGTTTGAAGTTCAGTTTTAGAATAACACACAGTAGGAAACTCTCCCTGAATATCAGGAGAAGGCTTGGAATCGTATGGCTTCCAAAAAACAGAGCTTATGGTGAGACTTATACTTTTATAGGTGAAGACTCACGAATACAGTAATCTAGATCTTACAGTATCACCTAGAAAAAATATGAGAGCAATGATGAAGAAAACTCGACGTGAAACGGCAAAAATGTTCAGCAGTTCACTGGGTTCCCGTCACACTGTCAGCTGTTCGACGGCTATCGTAAACAACGAGTTTTTTTTCTCCCTGCGCGTCAAGGGAAACAGAGATAATCACCTGAGCCCCCGCCTGGGTCGCCACTATGATAACGGCCGATCATCGACGAAATTAGCCCTTATCAGTGTTTACATTTATGAATTTTAGCGGACGGTTCAGCGAATTTCGTAACCCGACTAATTTTATCAACAAAGTCAAAAGATTGCTCGCAAATCGCAGAAGGCCTAGGAAGGGACCAAAAAGCTAGGCCGGCTAGACTTTAGGCATAAGTATGGTACGGGAATTCGTTTTGGGTCCTTCGTTCTCTAAGATTTGGAACCTTCGTTCTCCAGAGTAAAGCGTTCTCCGAGAATCTTCATCCCGTCCTTGTCAAAGGGAACATATTCCCCATTCGAGCGCTCCGATGACTTGGGAGATTACTATCAAGCTTCCCATCATCTATGGGATCAGTTGGCTCAGATCAGAGGTCAGAGATTTGGGTGGTGGGGATATTTGTTATAAGCGCTCCAAACAGGTGAAACTACTGAAGGTCGTACCGCCCCCTTAATCAGATGCACCTGGTGGACACAACAAAGCCACTTATACCCGTCGTATTGTTAGCAAAAAAAGAGGACGACTTGGAAGTAGCGCTAGGCTGTCATACCGGTCATACAAGATAATGGCTGGTAAAAAGTCAGGGTAATTACCCGCTTGATGATGATTTTTGATAAAAAAAAAACTGACCAAAAAAAAGCCTGTGAATATTAGCTACTTGCCAATGAGCCACGTACAAGGCTAACCTGAGACGGTTTCAGGTTTACGTATTACGAACTCCACCCCCCCCCCCCCCCCCCCCCCNCCCCCCCCCCCCCCTCCTCCATATGCTACGTCGATAGAGTTCCCTTTGCCTAGAAGCTTTCGATTTGCCAAGTGTCGTTAAGCAAACACAACTGGGCAAGCAGATGTGCATTTGTGGCGTAAAAAACACCGTCATCACGGTTTCTTTGCGTACCCTTTATGACCATAACTGACGGCTCCCCTTTGAAATAATTTTTAATACCATTCCTTGCTTCTGGTTCGCTCGATGTTTGAGAGATTCGATTTCTTAAGTGCCTCAGTTTTTTCCAAAGCTTTCAATCTTTCCCGTCTCTTTTTCCCGTTCCTCTGCTGTCTGTTCATTCACATTGACAAGTGGGGGAGTTTGGGTCCAGAAAAACAGGTACGGGAAACAGAAAAAGGTGGAGGAAAGACAAAATATGACAAACAAAACGAAAATCCGAAGAAAAGAAACGGGTAATCACCCTAGAGACTGTGGAAGACCTAATAGCATGGTTTTTCCTCGCTTGAAGGTAAATGAATGGGATATTAAAAAATAGGGTTTGAAAATATCAATTTTTTCCATCTCTGCAATTTGGACCTCAACTCCCGGGCCAACTGGACTCGCCTGCTTCTCAAAGAAAGGGTCAGTCGTCATTGCAAAGGATTGAGAGAAATGTTTAATAAATAATCAAAAATAGGTATACAAAGAGACCAAAGTAAAACTTTGTAATAGTTCCGTTATTGAAGCCCTATCGATAGTTCCCATCGTTAAAGGTCGTATGGATAGATTTTCTTCGTAGGTTTATCGTAAATATAAAATTTATTGCTATGTCCTGTTATGTCGATTCGAGTTTTTCAACATTCCAGCTAAATATTTTCATTTACCTGTTTGGGAGGAGTGGGGTTTGGAGGGTGGTTGGGAGGGGTCACCCGTAAAGGTTAGACAAAGTACAAACATCT